TCAGCTGTTGTTTTCTATTTTTGCACTTGCTATTGGTCAGTAATTTTTGCAGGTATTTCGACACCACCACCACCATCAGCTCAAATGCAAATTTTAGCAAATGAACTTAATTTCGATGACACAAAGCCAAGGGTTAATAGAATAGATACAGAAGTCTAATACGAAAATCAACTCAGTCATACAACTAATTTAGTTCCGATCATAAGATTCGTACCATTTCAAATTATCTAGGTTAAACTAATGTTACGAATACACCAACAAAAAGGTTAGCTTTTGAAATTTCCTGTCCAAAGAACATCGAAGTAAAATGAACAGACCTAAGAATGCGAATTCGCATGGTAATCCTGCATAAACGTTCTGGAATAGTACTAACTGATAAATCAGACAGCACCCATAGAATTTCATTTTTATCCATCGACAAACAGTTTCAACAACAGACACTTAAGACAGATGCGGCTGGGCAGATGGGGCTGCGGTCGACGAAGATAATAACAATAACAATTTCGCTTTATTCCAGAAACAGTACTTGTGGTACAGTGTGGAATTTTCAGCACATTGTAGATATGTGCATATGCAGTAATTCCTCAATTTTAATCAGTTGCTCTCTCATCTCATTCAGGTCTTTTCGTGTTTTCGACAGTTCACATTGTAACTCAGCTACCTCATTTTTGGAAACAGTTGACACTTGAGTTGCCGAACTTGTAGTGGAGGTTTTCATCGGATTAGCTTGAGTATTTTGAAAGGTTGAAAGACACATTGACTCCATTTTACTAGACAGCTTGGGAGAATTATAAGAATGTTGAGCAACATAAGTATTCGAACTTCTGCAAACAGTCTTGATGTGTCCAACTTTATCACATTTATGGCACTTAGCACTCCGAAAACGGCAAGTGCTTCGTAGATGTAACTTTCCACAGGAAAAACACGGTTTAATGTTTTTGATCTCTCGCTGCATTCTATTACCTGTGGACGGCAGTTTGGATTGCTTTCCATTACCACTTGTATTTTCGACTTTAGAAAGCATAACATCAGATACTGACGTAGTGGGAGCAGAGTATTCATTATTGACATCTTCATATGTAATACATAAATCTTTAGCAGTTTGAAAAGTACAAGAAGGAATCTGAATTAACTCTTTCTCTAACTTAGGAATATTGATTCCAGAAATTAGACGATCACGTAGTGTAGGGGACTAATATTAGAGTTCACTAACATTCCAAGTATAAAAGTAATAATCCAAGTCAGTGGAGTGTTAAATCACAATATATTACCAAAAATACAGTGACGAGTTATAGCAACAAAAAGGATTACTTGGTTATAAAGTGTAAGTCCTCGGCTACAAATTAATTATATAATCCACAGGCACGTTAACTGTTTGGACTGCGTCTGCTGTAGCTGCTGTGTTCCGGTTGTAGAAATGTCTTCGGATGAAAGTAGTAGGCTCCTACAATAAATCCAAAGTTACAACACGGTGTGAGTGGAGCAAGTAAGTAGAGGTGACCAGGGAGAAGACAAAGTCTCCGACAGTAGTTGAGTATGCAGCTGATCTCCAAAGTTACACTTTGAAGCTTGTATTTGGAGTTGAAGAATGAACTCTCGAATCTTCTGGTTGGGAGCACGAACCAGTTTGTTGAAGTGAGCCCTCTCTCTCGTCTCAAAAGTAGTTATATGGAAGTGATCTATAAGAAGTTCACGGAGCTTAGCATATGGCAGAGAAATTGGTTTTTCTGGAAATGACAGAGTCTTTACTAGGCTATACGCATCTAGCCCAATAGCAGTGATGAAATATGCTGGTATTTTGTCATCTCGAACATTCTTGGAAATGCACCACGCATCGAAGCATTCCAAATAATCAGCAATCTCCCGCGGAGACCCATTAATGGGGAATTTTCCCAGGTTATTTAGTTCCATCGCGACGCCAATTTGTAGTAATTTATTGTAATCGTAATATTAGTATTTCGAGATGACCGAATTACACGAATCCAACCAAAACACAGAGAGGGCGGAATTCAGGAATTTGTATTTAGCGGAATTATTCTGCAATTCATATATGAAACATATCAACAGTAAGTATTTAAACAATACAGAGATAGAAATTGTCAATCACCACATGTACTCTGCAAACAAAAAAGGATTCAGAATATTCCTGTTCTCTCACATCGCTCGAGAAGCATGCTTTTCTATGACTTTAAAATAAAACAGTGGGGTCGAGGGAAGGATTGTAAAATACTGATACGGACAGATCGGGTTTAAGATGTGGTAAATAAGTTTCGGACTCACCAGTTGTAAAGTACTAGTAGTGCTGTAGATTAGCTACAGTATGCTGGACATTACTTGATGCGCTTTACCCAAGTACTCGATAATTCATCACCCTACCAAACCTGTAAGTACTGACGACTGAACGCAAATTAAGATTTGGTTATTAGGAGAAAAGCGCTCAAGTGCGTCATATTTTTCAGTAAAATACAAAGTAAAGATTATCGAAGGGCAAAGGTCCAGAACATATCTTACTCGATGAACGTGCGTATGGGAAGCACAAAGGAAAAGCGCAAAATGGCGTTGGCGCCAGTTTGTGTTTGTAAAAATTTCAACAAAATCTTTAGCATTGGAATGCGCACCACAGACTATCCAATTTTAATGAATTACTTCTTTAAGAGTGACATTTTGAAATAAACTTAACCTATTTTCATGTAGCACTTATATGTAAGTAGTATCAATATTAATGTCTGGTGAAACAAAAGAAAATCTCATATAGTAGACCGAGCATACCTTAAAATTAGCATATAATAAATATTGTATTACACATTTCTCTCTATGCATTGGTACCGATATACATCTGCGTACAAATAAAATATTTCTTGTGAAAGTAAATATTTACTGTCACTTTATATCAGTAAATCGATGACTTCATGTTTTCAGAAGTTATTTAGAAAGCATATGAAATTACAAGGTGAATTTCATTTTTTAAAAAGCATTTTACCTACTGACAAATTTTGAGTAGTACAAAAAATAATCGTACTTTTCAAAAATGTCATTTTAGCTACCTTTCTTCTCTCAAGCCTGTCTGGAAATCAACAGCACTCAGAAGGAAAAACAAGATTCGGATTTTCAACTCTAATGTGAAGTCAGTGCTACTATACGGATTAGAGACTTGGTGCCACTTCACGAAGGGCACTTCGAACAAACTACAGACCTTCATCAACAGCTGTCTTCGCTTAATACTTTATGTCAGATGGCCGGTTAGAAAAGATCAACATCTCTGGAAGCGAACCAACCAGGAACCGACTGTGCAACAAATATACAGGAAGAAATGGAGGTGGATTGGCTATACTTTGAGAAAACCATCAAGTGTAATCATACGCCAGGTCTTCACTGGAGTGGAACTCGGACGCAAAGTGGAAAGTTGGTCGTCAGTGAGAGGGTGGCATGAAGGAGGAGGTCATATAAAGAGGAGATGAAAGCATGTGGGCAGACATGGAGCCAGATGATAATGTTGGCAGCGAACCGAACGCAATGGAGACGTGAGGCTGAAGCCCTATATTACTTACGGAATTAAAGGAAATAATAATAATATTAATATACTTCCCTCAACACCCGATACCTTCAGTATTTTTTTATTTTTTATTTTTTTTTTTTGATTTACAGCTTGATTCCACACCGTATTTTTGGTACAAGTATGGAATTTTCAGCATGGATATCGGTAGCCCAAATTTTGCAGGCCAACCATAGATATCAGGTGTGCGTCGGCAGAGGATCGAACCTCGGACCATGTGCATGGTCGGCGAGAGTCCTAACCACTGTGCCACCGACGCAATCCCCACTACCCCACAGTTCTTCCATTTTTGTCATTTTCAGTTGTGATGCTCTCACGAAGCAGTGCAACATCTGTCTAGAACATCCTTCAAAATTATTGGAAATATGTTGTATGGTTATCGTTTGATCTAATTCTAGTAGGATTTATAATGTTTTCCACCGTTTTGCAGTAGGATCAGTGGAACAGCTCAGTATGGGGGGCACTATGCAAACGTTCAGGGTAGTACACTAAAATTCAGGTCACTAGTTGGCGACACTAAGGAGTATTTAAATACTGAATTACTAGTAAACATGCCACACTGTACTAATCCACCCAAATTTTGGAATTTCCTTGGTAATTAGCAGGAAAATTTTACAGATATCTAAATATGCCCAGTCCTCGAATGACTACATTTTCATCATCGCCGTGAAATGCTTTTGAACATGGTTTAAAGAAGTAAAAGTTCTGTTATCAACGGTTGGCTTCTTCTCTTCATTTCATGTGAAACTGACTTAAAAGTACAGAATGCAATGGAGATGTGCCACTAAGAATAACGTTCATTTAATAATTACCCTGGTTTCAATGCTATATCCTTTTCCATAGTAAGAAATTTCTTATCTGTGTAAAATACTGATGTCATTTACATCTATAACTACAATGAAGGTTAATAGTTAGTTTTCTTGAATAATGACTTCATTGCTATAAGATGGATGCCTTAACTTCACTTACTCTGAATAAAAGTAACATCAAAACTATTGATCCTCAAGCCATGCACATTCATGATACCAGTAAGGATCAAAAGCAAGTTAAGACGTCACTGCACCATCATTCAGCTATTCAATCAGAATCCAATAGCCCCGGAATTTTAACTTTGGTCAAATGGTATTCACTCTGGCGCTTTTTCTCGACTTATTACCAGAAAATCTATGAATTTCATATAGAACTTGTTAACTAATGATAGTGATGAATAGACTTTAAAGTGCAAATTTGTGTCTGAATGACTGATTTCAATTGTTTAAATAAACGTAAATGATAATATATACAATTTCAGAATAAACATTCAAACCAATTTGCAATTCTTTAGAATTCAATATTTAATAATTTATTTAAGTAAAATAAAAGAAGTAAATGAAAGTAGTATTTGCGTATTTATATGTTTAGTTTTGAATTTACTTTAATGAATCTAAGTAAACATTTATTCTGTTAAATGTGTATAAATATTGGAGCGTACCAGCAGGCAGTCGGTCAGTCAATCAGAAAATCAATCCATATGAAATTAATTGTACTCTTTGCCATCTTACAGTCTCTGGTTTTTAGAGAGAGTGAAGGTAAGATATCTAAGTTATATATATATATATATATTGCATGATAGAGTATTAATGAGTTGAAGGCATCCGTAGAACTCATTCAATCCAATGGTTTTGAAATAAACAACGAGATCAACTGTTAGGTTGTAAAGTTTAGTTCTATGCGCGTTAATGGATAGCTGCTGTTTTTAATATACTCGAAGTGTGTAATACTCTCTTGATCCTCATATTATTCATCGTTGCCTATGTATGGTATGGTTGATCAAAACTAAGCAAAACTGAGTTCTAGAAGAAGATTTTTTGATGAAAAATATCCTCTATTCTGAGAATGACCCCGGTATTTAAAGACATCAAATATAACAGTAATAAAATAAATAGGCTTAAATTTTTCTGTAAGCTTTTATTACTTAAATATGTAGCCTTTTCGTCTACTTTTGAATATCTACTTCTGACTGTTTGGTGGATGGATTTAGACGTGGGGATCCTGTTGGGCCACATACACACACACACACACAAACAAACAACTTATTGTCTAGACAGGAATCTAGAAGACTATCTACCATAATTATCCAGTTAGTCGTTAACTTAATTCCCTTAACATCTGATAATTTCAGGTTACACAACTCCACCAGAGTTCGTTGTTTAAATTTAGTCGTGTACGGGTTAAGTTACAAAGCAGGCTTAGTTGGTAATTTATGATAAGCTCAGATGAGCATGAGTCTGTGTAATAAAAAAAGGTGTTGAAATTTAAACAATCAACCTCAGAATAATCAAAACGGATTAAGGTGTAACAACCCACTTATTGTTTCAGTAGTGTTCAATATTATGCATCACTTGTAGTACACACTTATTTTGTTTCGCGTGACAGATTGCGTAAGATTGTGAACAGTGTGATTACTAACTGAAACCTCACTAGTGAACCTAATTTTGTATATATTACTCTTGAAATAAGAAGACAATACTCTTTGTAGTGGTATGGATTAATAACGAATTTAGGGAATTTATTATTATTCCCTTGGGTTCCGAGTAGAATATAGAGTTTTAACAGGACACTTTAGTTTCACTCTTTAATGTACAATCCTCTTTAGCTGACTCTGTGATTATCCATTAACTTGTGGTGAGAGCAGCCTGCTGCCAATTGGTTGACATTAATCTACGTCAATGTCTAGGTCACTAATATTGGCAGTGAAAAAATATGAACAAGGCTGTTTCAACAACCAATCACAGGAAACTTAAATGTGGGCAAATATAATTCGCAGATAGATGGCTCCACTTTCTGAGGAACTCGAAAACAACCAATCAGAAGACTGCGTTTGTCTACTTGACTAGGCTATAATAATGTATGTGAAATTTATATAAATACATATTGATTTCCGTAATAAAATGATCTGTTGCCTGGCCCTTGTCTTCTGTTGTTACAAACTCTCATCTCCTCCTCACACTATCTCCTCCATACCACCCTCACATCGTCGCTCAACTCGTCGTTTCTCATCCAAGTTCTCCTCGAATGATGGCTCGGTATGTGATAACACTTAAATTTTTTGTCTGTAGGGGGGTGTCCGATCCATCTGCATTTTTCTTCAGAATACTTTTTAGACAACAGGTACTTGATTGGTTCATTCTCGTAGTTTCTTGTTGTCCGCTGATCCTTTCCATTCACAACCATGTAATCTGCAATGCAGCGCGAAGGCAAACGCTGATAACAGTCTGCATTGACCCATTGAAAATGCTTTCCGTGACTCACTAAGTTTCCGACATATATGGTTTGTTTTTTATGCCGAGTACAGCAGGTGAAAATGGAGATTGTTAGTATTTTCACAAGGTAATTTTGTTCATATAAATGAGTGCTAAAATTCTGTACTTTCTGTTCTTTATAAACAGGACAGTATGTATATCGGTATGTTGTGGATAGTATATTTCGTTATATGCTTTTTCGTTCATCTTTCATGTACAAATAGATTTATTTTTCCTTAGTAAAACACTCCTTTTTTAATCGTTGTTTTCTTCTAGTTAGGGAAAGTTATACACCTAAGATATCAAGCAACAAAAGCTGGTTATGCACTTTCTTTTCCCTGCACATTCCCCAGTGGAACATAGGGCTTCAAACTAGTGGCTTGAAGTTTCTGTAGCAGTGTTTGATTTTTACAAGATGGGGTTGCTAGCCTCATGCCCAACCTTTCCTCTTCACCAGCATTATTTCTGGCTTAGTGAGGTAAAGAAGTACGTCTGTGGCTAGGGATCGAACCCTGGACCATGTGCACGGTCGGCGAGTATCCTAACCGCTATGCCACCAACGCGAGGCTTATGCAATTGCTATATGTAGAATAGTTCATACAAATCTTAGAAAGGTGTATAGATTTCATAAGATAAATAGTCGCTTTAAAGCATTATGCAAATTATGTGAGAAGTTGGAAATGAAAACATTGCAAAAATTTGCATCGCATCAAAAAGATAAAGGGTGAAAAGTTAGACAGTACTAGAATTTATTCAGAGTGAAAATAATAACAGACAAAGCATTAAGCGATGGAGATACAGGCTGAATAAACAAAACGAAAAATAAGTCTCATCAAGGTAGGAGTAAGGACTTTGGGATCAATTGATACTTCTCTTTCTGTTCTTTAAGCCATCCCTTACACTAACTCTGAACCATACTGTAACCCTCCCTACCTAACAGTTGAGATTTATACATTTATTCCCCTTAGTAAATTTGAATCAAGCAAGAACAGCAGTTTTTGCAGAATAAAATGGTACCATCATTTATTTCATTGGCTTCTCATCAGCTGCTTACAGGCCAAAGTCATTATTAAGTATATCTACAAAAACAATTTTAACATATCTGCACAGAGTTCATTTTTAAACAAAAATCAATCAATCACTATATGCATACAGTAATTACACACATATATATATATCATATTAAACATTATTCCGAATAGTAATGATCACACATAATGGAAACTTTCGACATTACGTACCCAGACGAAAGAGAGGTGAAAATATCTAGTTACCAAGTTGGCAAAGAAAGATTAATAACTGCTTCTTCCTGAACGCATAAAACAGGTTTCAGATGCTTGATGGAGATGGAGAACTGAACTCTTTTGCCTATTGATAATTCTGAAGGATCCTGCATTGTCCACCTCATGACCCTTATCAAGGAGATGCCTGACGACGACATCACCGATTGCGTGATTCAATATAAGATGAACTTTCGTAGCGTTCATTAAGTCCGATCGGTTCTCGAAAGTCAACTTTCGACAAACTTAGGCTGAGATAGTTTGACTTCACCTGAAATACGATATAATTTTTCTCAATGTTGTCTTATGAAAAATTCTCAACTTGTTGCGTACTGTTTTTAATTGCCTTCTAATTTTATTAATTCTACACTCCTTTATAAGATTTGTGCATTTCATGAATTGATTTATTAAGCACACAGACTATTTTGTTGTTTGACTATGATCAATAATTACAAACATTTTGTTACACTTCTACTAATAATCTTTGAAATATTACAAAATGTTTCACATTCTCAAGGGAATTTGAGTAAGTAGTAATTATAAGTTGATTGACTGTCAAGATATTGTGAAATGACATTTTGTTTTATTTGTACACGAAACGTTTAGGATACGAGAAATAAGCGTATTGTGCTAGTCCACTGAAGCAAGAAACAGATGAAATGGATTCTTATTTTTCTTATGTTGATGATGCATTAATTATTCCTGATGAAGAAGCCAACAAGAACGAAACATTAATAGAATTTAATGACGCAAATCTACCGCTTATCTTTACTTGTGAGGAAGAACATGATAGTAGACTACACTTTACTGATATCCAGTTGAGCAGAAGGGAGGATGGTTCACTCATGAAAGATGTCTATAGAAAACCTACGTCTGTAGGACAATATACACATTCCTTAAATTTCATACCAATTCAATAAAAAAATCAAACTGGTCAGATGCCTCATTAATAGAGCAAGACGGATCTGTATAGATGACTTCCTAAGCAATTAATTAGTATATATTCAAAATACACTCGTTCAAATGGGTTATTCTAATATATTTACAAGGAGACACATGAATACTGTGTGTACCAAAGCGAAGCTAACCACAGTTAAAAGGAAACAACTGTTCATGAAATCACAAGTCAGTGGGGACATGGCTAGTCAAATCTTGCATTTAAGATTATCTACATCCATGAAAGGACTTATCCTGCTGCTACTCTTTGTTTTTAGTTCTCCAGACTACCAGTTATGATCGCTTAAGAGAAAGATAAGCTACTCTGCTGTTCCACTTCTATGTGCACTTATAATTTTAGCTCCTCTCAGGGAGAAAGTAATTTAGGGGGAACAACTAAGCAGCCCGATAAACGTATAACCGAGTATCTTCCTTCATGGTTCAGGGAAAGCCAAATAAAATCCATAAGAAGTTCTATTTTATCTCATTTGATTGATAGCGGTCACCAAATGGATAGAAAAAATGCCTTTAAGGTTATCTGTCACATTCAATCGAACCTTCCTAAGGGAATTTAAATCCCCCTTTTACACAGAATAGAAGCCTCGAAAACTTGAGAGAATAATCCTAGTCTTTACACACAAAAGAAGTTTGTCTCTCTCTAAGCCTAGGAAAATTCTAATTAAAACTTCTCGCGCTTTCTTATTCTCCACTTCTCGCATACTTCTATGATGTTTACTTAAACTCTGGTTATCCATCTATTTCACTTTTAGCATTAGGTAACTCTTAAAATTTGACACAATTTATTCACTGAATTGTTTACAAAAACATTGTACCATCATTATTCTTGTCACCACCTGCATAAACCTCCTGCACTTTTGTTATCGTTAACCTTATTATCAGCATTTTTGCTGCTGTTATAATCGTCGTTACTACTGACGTTCAAAACACTTAACACATTAGTTTTGATGCACACATTCATTGATATTGACTAAATTTATGCATATGTACTGTGCGTCGGTGGCATAGCGGTTAGGACGCTCGCCGACTTTGCATATGATCCGGGGTTCGATCCCCGGCCACAGACGCACTCCTTTACCTCACCAAGTCAGAAATAAAGCTGGTGAAGTCTCTAGCTTAAAGCCCTATGTTCCACTGGGAACGTGAACGACTAATATAAATATATGTTTATGTAAAACTTTGTACATTAGAGGAAAGCCTGAAGAAGATTTAAGTGGAAAGAATATTGTTCACTTATATGTTTTGTTTGAATTTTAACAATGAGAATATTTAAATATTTATGAAAAGCTTAATAATAATAGTAACCACATTAAGGCATTCGTAATGTCTGTTTGAAGTCGACTGGGGCTAAAACATTATACTGTGTAAGAATAATGTGATGGCCACAGTCATTTTGATGACGTGAATTGATACAGATATGAGAGGAGAAATACACTTGATGTAACAGAATTGTAGCTGAAACGATGTAAAGAACAAAACCCACGTGTTATGCTCTGAACACAAGAGACCAACCTGTGCTTTCTATTGTATAAGCGACTAGAATTTCCTTGAGTTACGTGCAATACAAAAATCTCCCCGATTGTCGTAAAAAGAAGACGGTTATTTGCGACAACATCTGCGGTATTATCCAACAATCACAGTAAATCAAAACTCATAATTATCTCAACAATACTGTCAGGTAGCTATACAGATCAAACTAGTTCTAAAAATACAAAACAAGTACTGTAGAACGAAATTAGTTTGCTAAAAGTCAACTGTAACAGCTACCGGAGAATCAAAAAAGAATATCCCCAGTAAGGTGAAATCAAAACTCTGTCATCAAGAATCACGCGCCAAACATTCCCCTCAGACAGTTCAAGATCAAAATGACTTTAACTCAGTCAAACAAAATCGCAGTCGTGAAGTAACACATTATCAATATCATTCCACAAGCACAAAGAGAAGCATTAATATCAGAGATTAAACAGGAGTAAAGACAAATAATCAGGATTAAGCCAACATGTGATATGCAAACGTTAGAACAATGATTTATAGTCTGGAAGTAAAGCGTAAAATAATTACAGAGTTAGCTGAAGCATCCTAATAAGTAACAATATTGTAACTGGGTCGTTTAGAAGGGATTTTTTAAAAATTATTCCGTAACAAATAAGTGTTTTCATTCTTAATTTGTGATAGTATTTTTTGTGATTTCTTCTATCAAAACCCTAATAGTGACCCCTATTTCGATGAGTTGAAGTAAGTGTATGCCATATTTGTGCAAAATTTCTTCATGTATATCTAGAACAGAAATCAGCACTTGTAATGAATAATTATATCTTGACTATAAACCCGACAGAAACAAACTAATGTCAGCTCATGATGAAACCCTGTAACCAATCAACCAAATCCCTACAAACCAATACTTGAATATCAATGAGATGCTGACTAGCGACTTACCCTATTCAGGTAGGTAGTTACCTGGGGTTCTAGTTGGAAGTCTTGACCAGTAGGGTGCAGCAGGTCGGGTGTAAGGATAAATACTCGCCACTAAAGACATTGGCTAGCGGTCGCGCTATGTCATGAATTAGCAGAAGTTAGAATTAAAGGGGTATTGGATCGGATTCCAGTGGGTTAATGGTATACGAGCTCGCTAGAATTGTAACCAGAAGGCCCTGGGTTCGAACCTCGTGGTGTGGGTGCGTACTGTGAAGAGTCCCAAACCAGGACGAAACAGCTGTTCAGTACTCCCAAGTTTTCCAATGGTTTTCTAACTAATGTCAGCTCATGATGAAACCCTGTAACCAATCAAATCCCTACAAACCAACACTTGAGAAACAAATTTGTATGAAACTAAGGGGATAGGAGAAAAGCTATCGGAGGGTATATTCTTCAATATATACAATAAATATTTAACATCTGTCTAATTTATTCAACCCCAGAATGTATCTCATTTTTGGTTTTTACCACTTCGAAACTCCCAGATAGATAGTTTCTTTATGATGAAGTTCACTAGCATGTTTAAACGGATTTAAAAGGTCACTTCGCATACAGAAAAAAAACGAATACAGTGGTAGGATAAACTCTGAAGACATTCAGAGACTTCATGAAATGTGGTTAATTCATGTATGAAGATGTGCAAACCTTCGAGTTATTTTGAATTGAGCATTGAAGATTTTGTTAAAAAGAGGACAATAAAAGCTTTGATATTAAACAAATTATCCCAGGGAACACGATTCACTCTCTGAAGATTTAGATTTCTTCTCATTTTATTCATTGGCGACAATGATGAGTGATGAATTTTATTCAGTATACAGATTACGTCTTTATTATATTGAAATTACAGTACTAAAATATTTTATCCACAGTAAGTATTAGTAATAATAATAATAATGATTTACTTTATTCCAAAAACAGTACTTGTGATACAGAATGGAATTTTCAGCATTAATCACAATATTCCATCTAATTTCCTTAAATTATAAATAAAAATTAATCACACAGAAAATTTTCTACATTCACAATAGGGGTAATGTCAAAAACATGCAGCATATAAAATGGAAATAGCAATAATAATGATAACAGCTAGGGTAATAATAATAATAATACAAGTGAAAATTTCCGTGGGCTTGTTTCACACATTATTGTCGATGTGGTATAGAAATACTAGCATGTTTAAAAATATTGAATATAATGTTCTCTTTACATGATATGGTGAAGGGAAAAACAAAGATTACTGCCGTCATGGAGATAAGTTGGTGTTTGCGATTATGAGAGTAAAACAGAGAAGTAACAGGACCATAAATATAATAGAAATAATAAAAGTAAAACTTGAAGGTATATGAGGATGGATGGAGGAAATTGTCTATTTACTAGATGAAAAGAGATTAGTTAGTTCTTGCCTGACACTGTTTTCATCACATAAAATACGTGCCAAGTATGATATCATAGAATTTCTATACTTAGACGTGCGAGCATACAGTTTTCTGGAGTTACTTCTTGTTCTACCTGAGGAGATGCAAAGTGAAAGCTGAGGGATGCTCCAAGTCAGACAAAATCCCATTAGCAAATTTATTGCACGAAGTCAAGTGCCTATGGACAACGACGTTAACTGTGTGGTCCACCGGGACACCACTCACCCTACTGACAGTCTTCAGTATTCTGCGAATTGTGACATAGTCTTTTTTAAGCAAACCAGGAAAGAATAAGGGTGGACAATAAAGAAGAATAGGTAGGATGCAAGAGTTTGTGAACTGTAAGAGAAGGGGTGGAGTTATACCCGAGTGCCTTGACTTCATAATGTAAACTGTCAGGCGGAAAATTCTCCTGGAGATCGCTAAGACATGGGAAGTCCAGGAGAGATCAGAAGGGAGAATGAGTCCAAAATACTTAGCTTCTGATTTAATTAAAATCCGAAGTGTTAATAAGAAGTATTAACAAGGAAGAGTATCTTTGTATATTATTCATGTATTGGTGTATTCAAAGTATTCTATGATGACTAGCTGTAAAATATGTATATTTATGAAATTATAATTCTGTGAAGTGATACTTTGAGACATTTTAGTCAAAGGGTTTTTGAAATGTCACTGTAAAAGGGATCAGTTCACTGATTGGAAAACTGAAGAGCTTTTAGTTCCCTACTCACCTTGGTAATAATTGCATGTGTCATAAATTTATACCATAGAAAAGCAGCCGATAGTAGAAGGATGAAAGATAACTTGTGTTTACTGATGATATTTATTTAGAACTCTGTTACTTAAGACAGATTTTGTGTGTTTGTTAATTACACTAATTTGTCGTCTTGAATAAGATAGACGAGACAGGAGTCATATCCAAGACCATTTGGCTAAAAGTCATAAGCAGCTCAGCTCAACTAAACACTACGACATCATCGCGCATAATGAATCATTCTGTTTGATCCATTGAGTGAAACTGATAGTTTGTACAACTAGTGTGCTGACAGAACCTTTTTACAGACTTACTGTCATGCGAAAACATTTAGTTAATCGAAAAGTGTAAATGTAGTGGATTACCGGCTAATGAAGTTATTGTATGTTTATATATGTAGCACCTAGATATAAGTAGTCAATATTGATAATTTGAAGATGTAAAACTATAGAATTGAAGGGAATACTTTCAAACGATAAATATTTTAATGGGTGAAAGACAAGAATATGTGCCTGTTATCACCGATGATATTCTGAAGTTTGGTGGACTGGATTATGCGTCAGACTGTGCATTGGGAGCTAGGAGACAGGAATACACTGGACTACCAATGGGAAGACTCTAGAAGATCTGAATTTCACGCGTGGATGATTTATGTCTAAAGTCACACAAACTCGAAGACTTAAAGGCGAAAAGCAAAAAACTGACAGAAGAAGCAGGAGGCGGAGACAGGACTACAGGTGAACAATAGATAATGTGAAGACGGAGGTGATGAAAATAACCAACGAACAGCAATAGCAACAACCAGTTCTAATCACCATCAACAAGAGACATTTAATAGAGGTTACCTCCTTCACTTATCCTACTAGGAAGCATAGTTTAAACTAAAGGTACACGGCATGGATGTAGTTGTCAATGCCAACCAGAAGTGGAAAGGCAAGATATGCCTTCATCAGCCTGAAATCTGTTTGGAAATCTTCTGCACTCAGCATTATGAACAGGATTCGGATTTTCAACACCAATATCAAGTCGGTCGGTCCTTCTATACAGGTCAGAAACTTGTACTACGTGTCACGAAAAAGATTCCCAACAGATCATTTCAGATTTTGTCAATAGAGCTGCCTTTGCTGGCTCCATACTGAATATCAGATGGCCAGAAAGAATAAACAACAAGAAACTATGGAAACAAACCAACAGGCTAGACCCAATCGCTTAGCAAATTTGTAGGAGGAAGTGGAGATGGATGGATCGGGTATACATTGAGGAGGATGTCGAATGACATCGCGCGCCAGGCCACTGCTGGAGTGTTATCCTATTGGAAAGCGACGAATGAGTTGTCCTAGGGTGACATGGAAATAGATTGTGTGAAGAGGAGGAGATGAGAGAGTTTGGTCAATCGTGAACCCAGCTGAAGAGGACTGAAGAAAATAGAGGAAAGTGGAGATGTATTGTTAAAGTCCTATGTTCCCTTTGGAACCGAAAGGAATAAAAATAATAATAATATATTATAAGAGTATGAAGAGACTCATTAAAATGAAATTCTGAAGTAGGATACTTTCCCTTATTGCAATGTGAACTAAATATAACAGAAGTAGAAATTACAGATCTTAGTTAAACACATTAATTTGCATACAAACATGTATTGCTTATTATTTATTGACTAAAACTGATCAATTGAAACATTTTCACATTTCAGACAGCCAATATATCATCGAAAGTAAGCATGGTACTATAACATTATAATTCCATTTGAATATGCCTTTGAACTATTGGTATACTCCTATAAAGTGCCATATTAATTTTCATTTATCCATGTGTTTGTTGATTGTCAACTGTCGTCAGAATCTGTTTGAATAAGATGACTGGAATGTAAGAGACAAGGGCATGTATTTAAAAAAATTGTGCACAGAAAGCATTGATAGCTTGTTGTAAAAGTATTCCCTACGGTATAATTCTCTTTAAACGTGACAAACAAGATTTCATAATACAATGCACCATAAACCATAGACACAATGTGTTAGAATTTGTAAGATTTTGAAAAAAAAATGTTCCAATATTGCAGAAAATTTCTTAGTTATTTGAAATTATATTAGGAGATTGTGTAGACATTTTGGGCATAGCCTAGACACTAGCCAGCCAAAAGCTCAAAACCATGCTATGTATCCAAAAGAAATACGTCCAACCTTTATCTCTTCCATGACCTTCATAAACAGGTAATTCTTTTAGTAATGAACACCCCACTGCCTTTCTTATCCAACCTTCCTGTTTATTCAGATTATTTTTAAGTTTTTTCTTAATACCTATTAACACTATCATATTTTGATATCGGAGCTTTCTATCTGCTTTGTCAATTTATTCGTCACATAGTTATGATCCCGCTAGCCTTTTTTATCCAAACATCCTGTACATTTATTTTGTTATTTCTACATTTGTTATTTCATATTTCTATATTTCTAACCCCTAACTGCTCAACATGTCAATATTCTTAGTCATTATGATGCTATTTTGCTTGAGTTTTATTCATCCCCTTGTTTATTATGGCATTTCAATTCCTAATTGTAATTTTATTAATTCGGCTCATCACCGGAAATTATTCTGAAACTTTCCTACACATTTAATACAAATATACGAATGTGGAGCCTAGCTGATGACTTTGTCGAAAAAAAAATTAACTTCTCTGCAACTGACTTTTTATTAATCCCTGTGATCAAATGTTTATATACCGTGATTTCAAGTTTCTACAGGGAATTAAATGATTAACGTGGATGGAGTTGTCAGCAAAGTCCTAATAGTCCCTAATTCTATCAGTTTATGGACTAGATAGAAAACTAGTGAATCGGGTATATAGTCGACAAAATAGAATAAAAGATGACCCAATGTACAGAAACATAATCAAATTATGTATATTTTAATGTAAGGAATTATGTATTTCTATCTTACGTTTATTGACACCGAATTATGAAGTATTCCATCTAAATCATTCTAGGCACCCACAGATGAAACCAGAGTAAGTCACCAGAGGCGAAATACAGATTTCTTGAAAGGTGGTACTGTGGTTGGTAATTTCCAATAAAATTCCACTATCGTACTGTGGTCACCAAGAACAGTGGTCTAAACATTTATAACCTGGCCTACATAATGATTGAAATTATGTCTTCATCCGAATCGCGAATAATCTCTCCAGAACATAAGGGTCGTAATTTCTGAACTTATTCAGTATGTGGTGAGAGCTGGCTGCTAGCTAATTTGGTAGACACTAATTCACGTCAGTGTTTGTGTCCCAAATAATGGTCGTGTGAAAACAAGAACAAAGGCTGTCTCAACAAGCAATCACAGCAGACTTTACATCGGCGGATATAATTAAGAGGTAGATAATCTGTACTTCAAGAAACGGCCATTAAGAAATGAAAGATTAACATTCAGTGAGAAACAACCAATCCGAAGACTGTGTTTTTCTGCTAACAATCATCTACCCTAACGTACATGTAAATTTATAGATATGTGTTGATTTCCTTAATAAACGATCTGTTGCCTGGCTCTTGCATTCTGTTGTTACAAGAAGACTACTGTGCTAACAAAATCAGATACCTTGATTTGACATTTGAAGATGCCGTATCACAAGCTCAATAATCGATTAATTATTGTAAAGAATGACTGAAAATATTCCACTCATTCAGAACGCTATTGAAATATTGAATTGGATGATAACACAAGTAATCCAAGAAACTGAAACATTCGAATAGGTTCAGTGATACATCTGATCAGTAGTCTTGATTATATCGAATCGAGTACTTCTCACTTGTCATCATTATTGTGAATACTTGTCATTCATCATCACTACTTTCAATTAGTATGTTCGATGACTTCCACAGTATGCATCCACTGGAACCAATGTGAGTGTGATTTCATTTATTTTGCACTTTTTGATGATGTTTCAGTGAAACTTGTTTATCAAGAGAATAGGTAGTTTTCTGAAGATGAGATTAGTTCATGGTTTGTTAAATGACGACTGGTGTGTGAACTTCTTCAGTATGTTGAAGCTTCTGATGTGATGAATGATTAGGTTATTGTGTAGAGAAGATCGTTGCATGTGCTGATAAATTTCCGACTTCCATTTCTGTGTATCACGAAAAGTTTTTTAACCGAGTGTTCCTTAATTCAAAATACGGGGGATGAAAGGGGAGAAGATTTTAAGGGAAATAAACCGTAAGCATTTGTTAAGAGAACTACTGACAGATCAATATGGGATCAGGAGTTCATTCACTTTTCGGTAAAGACAAAAACCTAAAAGCTTAATAGAGAGAGTAATACTTATATGATGAAGAGTGCGAATCAACTTCTATGACAGGAAACAAGATGTATGTCTTTGAAACAGGTCATCTGTTGTAGGCAGGGATGCATTTCATTCTTGTGTTTATTGACTACTTAAAACGAAGCAAGCTGTCTACATAATTTCAGGCGCCCATCGATGAAACCAGAGTGAGTCGCCAAGGATAATCTTGTAGATTTATTTTACACATCTGTCTCATATCTATTATTATTTTTCTTATCGCCTTGAGTTTAGAGTGGAATATGGGGCTTCGACAGATCTCCTCCATTTCATTCTTTTCCCTGTAATCTTTATTAGCTGGCCCCATGATTTCCCATAGGCTCTTATCATCTCCTGACATTGCCTATTTCGTGTCATTCTTGGACAAAGGTCCGATCCATCTTCAGTTTGTCGTACACATATATTGAGCAACATGTCTTAGATTGTTTCCTTCTGTAATCATGTTATCGCTAATTCTTTCTAGTCAGCCATGGGACACTAAGTATGTAGCTGGAGAAGGTAACTGTTTATAAATATTCGTATTAGTCTGATGTAAATGGTTCTCATGAGTCACCCAGTTCCTGTCTCATATAGAAGAACTGACTAGTGTTCGAAATTCGAATTTTGCTGTTTATGCTGAGTGCAGAAGATTCTCATACTGCTTTGAGAATGATATCGGTCTTTCTTGGCATTCAAATGCTAGCTGGCTTTGAAATCCTCGTCCGTGCTGTCGCCTACAGTTGAAACGGTGGCGCTAGGATGAATGAAGGAACTAATATCTTTCAAAATTCTCCCGTTGATAGTGACTGTGGTTTGTTGTTTTTAGTTATTTTCCTCATCTCTGTCTTGTCTTTGTTCACTTGAAGTCCTGTCTTTGCGAATTCTTCCGCCGAGTTGCTTGTTTTCGCTTGTGAGCCGTTAATTTTCGCAACATTAGACATAAATGGTCCAGGAAGTCAAGATCTTTTGGAGTCTTCATATAAGTCCAATGTATTCCTGTCAACTGGATCCCCACTTAAGGTCTTCTTTGTATTCCAATCCGTCTCAATTAGGAATACCATCGGTGATAGTGGGCAGCCTTGTCTTACGAGTGCCTCCACTTTAAGTCTTCATTGAGTTTTCTGTTGTGAATAAATTGGCATATAGCATCATCATACGAGCGAGTGAATGAGGTTCAAAAAGATTTGGGGCATGCACAGTGTTGGAGTAGTTTTCAAACTACTTCACAGTCAACACTGTCGAAGACCTTTCCAAAGTTAATGAAGCTGAGGTAGAGATTTGACTGCTATTCCGTATACTGCCCTTTGGTGAAGCATAAAGCTGCTACTTGATCTACACATCAATTGATTTTCCTGAATTCATCTTGTTCCGGGTCGAGTTCTGCGTCCAGTGCATCTTCTTTTCTCTGCACAATAACGCGACTCAATATTGTGGACAAGAGGATGGTTCAACGCCAGTTCTTGAAAAGGCTTATGTCGGTCTTCCTTGGTAGTCTGACAAGGTAGCTTTTCTTCAAATCAGTTGGCACCTTTCCTTCCTTCCAAACTTTTTGAAATAGTGATGTAAGCATATCCACTGTGGATCGTGGTTCTGTTTGCAGTGCCTCTGAGGGAGTTCCATCCGGTCCTACTGCCTTCTTAGACTCGCATTCAAGATTTCTGATTCTGTTGAAGAATTCAAGTCCTCTGGCATTTCTGTAGCTGCTGTTGGTGGCATTTATGGACGAGTTACAGGTGATGGTCGGTTCAGGATTTCTTCAAAGTGGTCAGCCAATAGTTTTATAAGCTTGTCCTCATTGGTGATTAGGTCCAGTCGACCGTCTTTCATTTGTTTCGTCTGTGTTGAGCTCCGACCAGATGACGCTTTGGTTATCTGATATAATGCTTTCAGGTGTCTTTTAACTGTGGCCTGTTCTATTTCAGTTGGCACAGTGTTGTAGGACTGACCATTGTCTTTCTTCTCACTTTTCTTCACTTCTTTGTTCAGTGCAGTGTACATTGAACTCAACTTCACTGTCTGTTATCCATCCTTCCGTTGGCCATCTTCATCACCATCGAATGTGGAAGGTTATTTAGGGTAAATTTCAAAAACCATTTTGTAGGTACCAAGGTGTATCGTCTAAATATACACAAACAAACATGCAGAACGGCGGAAATCATTTCTTCCAACCAATTCGTGAAAAAATCCTGCTGACAAAATAGTCCAAATTACTGCACTAACAAGTGAACGTAAGAGACCAGAATTCAAACATTGAAAAAGATCTTTTACAGTAAGCAATGAAAGGTCTTCATATTACTTTCGTTAGCCAAGTATTATACAGCCTTTCACCTACGTAATTCTAGGCTCCCACAGACGAAACATATAAAGATAATTTATACGAACTGATTTCAAGACTGTTGTCAGTAAACTTTGCTAGTCATTACTCTCAAATCGAATGTTCATTGTCTTCCACAGGATGCAGCCACTACAACCAATGTGAGTGTGATTTAATTTTTTCATTTTAATATGTTTTTTTTGTAAAACTTGTTTATCGAACGACTTGAAAATTTCCTAAATCAGATTAGTTTATCACTGTTCAAAGATGACTAGTGTCTGAACAACGTCAGTACCTTGAAACTTCTCATGATTTGAAAATGTGTGTGTGTGCGCGTGTTATTGGATGGAGATTATCGATACACATGCTAACAACTTCCCTATTCCGCCGTCCGACCACCACAAAATATTCAATAGTCAGTGTGATGGATGAATGTCGAAGCGAGACTTAATGCACTTTTCAGTATAACCTGTTATCAACCTATTAACAAGGTATTTTCATACTCATGGAATGTAGATTGCGAGAAAAAGGCAACGTATCGTGGGAAAAAAATTCTTATGATAGAAAAGTTCATCAAGTGTTAGCAATGATGTATTTCTGTCTTATGTTCCTTAACAGTGAATTACTGAGTCTTTCACCTACATAACTTTAGGAACCCACAGATGAAACCAGAGTAAGTCTTGCACATTTTTTTCGATATGCTTGTTGTTGTTTTAAATGAATTCCACGAATCGTAATGCGGTCGCTGAGCAGAGTTTGAGTGTGCTTTGCATAAATTTGTATCGACTGTCAGTTATCGTCCAGATGAATCAACGGATTTGATTTCCTGATCAAATTTATGACAATGACCCTCTGAGATTCATTATTACTATTTTAAACCTTCAGCATAACACACTTCCGTGAATAAATAGAACATAGGAAGCGACTATTATATTGAAGTACCTATATGAACACAGGGGAATAATGTCTTTCTTCATAAGCTAAATATTTAATATTGAGTAATAGCTAGAAATGCTTCAATATGGTACAGAAATCCTTAAGACAAATGTATATTTCTTCAGACGCTTCCGAAATCAGATGGAAGGGTATTTGTTAGAAGAACCTACTGGCCTAATGCATTCGCTTCGACATTTCAAATGAGAATTATCCTTTATTCTCTAGATATAAAGCGTTGCATCTCATTACCGCGCCAACTTCAAGCATCATTTTATCAATGACCGTTAATCGTTTCATCGATTATCAAAACGAAAGCGGTAACGATTTCTCCACTAAATTACATGAAGTTCACACAACTGTCAGTCACTCATGATAAGTGGGCTAACCTTCAACTGCATTAGTTTCTCGTGGAAGGTTATACCTCAGGCTGAATTTTATTATATGAAGAGAAAAAATGAGAACGTTTCAAATACGTTCACATCGTGTACGTAGATAACGAAGAATTATCTATTCTCATGATGTGGATCAGAAATATTTCTCAATGATTTCGTTGAGTGGATCCCGAAAGACGTGAAGTGGGTTGCATTTAAGAAGACTGTCTGTTTAACTGGTGAATTTACATTCTGATTCGTCGACATAATTCAGCTAATGGCTGTAAGAAGATGGTAGAAATATTAGCTCGTGACAGTTGCCTCAAGTTTATTTACATATAGTCGTTCATCGTTAATGAGTAACGTAGGTGAATGTTTCACATGGTCTAATTGATATTCGAATTGGGTGAAAAATCGACAAAATGGAATAAAAGATGACCCAATGTACAGAAACATAATCAAATTATGTATATTTTAATGTAAGGAATTATGAATTTCTACCTTACGTTTATTGACACCGAATTATGAAGTATTCCATCTAAATCATTCAAGGCACCCACAGATGAAACCAGAGTAAGTCACCAAAGGCGAAATACAGATTTCTTAAAAGAAAGGACGGCGGAGACGTCATGGAAAATGTTGAGAATTACGAAATTATCAAAATAAATTCAGCGAAAGTATGCGGAAGGAACTAACAAATAAATAAAAATGTGTAAAGTATGTATTCGAAGCATTTCGCAACCCGAATTCAGGAAAATGTTCACCTAGGCGTCAAATAACTGGTAAGTTTTTTTCTGTGGCTTAGGCGTCTTGTTTATAGGGTCAACATTTTTTGCGTTAGAAACGTCCTATAAAAACCCTTACGACTGTTACTATGGTAATGTGAATCGATTTCAGCAGGAAAAACCATCTGTCTACCGTAATAGGCCTAGGTGTAACCAGACGGGTATGCTTGATGTCCCTTGTAACGTATGGAATCTTGGGGTCGGGTCACACAAAGTGAAGACGATGAAAAATGGCAATGAAGTATGAAAAGTAAATAAGTAAACGTGGAATGAACCGGTATTACGTTGGGTTGGCTCGAGCTCCTTGAAACGGTGTGGTTTTTCCTCTCAAACCGGAAAAACTGTTTTGTGAATTATCCGCTTGGGAGCCCTGATATTCCTAACCTGTAAATTAAGTTACACTATAACTTCCTTATCAAATCTATGTAGTAAGTTCAGCTGTTTCGAAGTACCGTCGAAGCTTCAGGTGTTACATCCGTAGCAGGATTTTCATCACTGGTTCAGATAAACAAAACTTGTTGATCTGCCACGTGATCGCTGCGAAGCCGAGTAAGCAAAAAGTACTTGGTTAAGTCAAAAACCTCTTATTATCCTTATTTTTTTACCCTATCAATCTTTTCGTTCATGTTCTATTGGGCAGATACTGTTGCTATCTCTTATTCATTTATAGCATAAGTTATAGTAATTTTTGATATGGGGGTTGAAAGTGGCCTTAAGAAAAGCCTTCAGAAACAAGGTCTTCAGCCAGAGTAGACAATAACCCAGGGATATTAAACTCATCCCGCATACAGATTCTAAGGACCAGCCTCCTCTCGCTTATTGATACTATGCCTACATTTATTTTATTTTTAATTACAGCTTGATTCCACACTGTATTTTTGGTACAAGTATGGGATTTTCAGCATGGATATAGGTGACCCAAATTTTGCAGGCCGACCATAGATATCAGGTGTGCGTCGGTGGGGGGATCGAACCTCGGACCATGTGCATAGTCGGCGAGAATCCTAACCACTGTGCCACAGTCCAGCACTGAACGGCACAGGCAAAAGCAGGCGGACATTATATTACAGCTCTATCCATCGGAAGCCAGTGTTTGACACAGCAAAACAGAAAAGAAGTGCTCAAGATATCATTGGACCACGAAAGCGTCTTCTAGAAAAGGAGACAACTGTTAAGCTTGTAGTGTTTTTGTTTCTTAAACTAGCTTGACGTTACAACGAAGTTTCGCAAAAGTTGTTGGGCACTACCGTCGTGACAAAGGGGTGCCAAAGCCACATTTTGAGTTTATGCGAAATTAACAACGCTCGGGGTTCTGGTACACTTGCCTATTTTGTCACCCTGACACAGTCTCACAAAGCGTGTCTCCAAATACCTGAAACAGCGCCCCGTTTTTATGTCCCAACACAGTCTCATGCTCCACCTGATAACACAACATAACACCAACATAAAAAAGATACGCCGCAACAACCGGCTAGAAATATAAATCTTCATAAACTGAAGACTCCCAAGGTTACACCCAGAACAGCAGGGGAAGACAGAAATGCCAAAGCACCACCTGCATCCGCTAGCAAGTATAGCAGCAAAGCAAAGATAAGTCAGAACTTGATGAAGCAATACCACTACTGGCTCAATTACTAGTTGTCGACAGGAGTTTTAACATAAGGGCAGGACATGCTACCATGTAAATAGCTAGGGAGTTACCGAGAGTGAACTTCATCTCCCGCATGGTCAAGCACGGTATTCCGGAGCTGAAAACTGGCACTGTTTGTGAAAAACACATGTATGACTTATGGTAATGGAGATGGTTGTCATCTCAGTGGGCCCTTTATGCTTTCGGAGCAATATTGACTTCTAGCTAACTTGTCCCACTCATCTCACACTGGTTAGCTTCCCAAGGCTGCTAAGTATCAACTTCTACTCCCAGAAACAGTTGGCCTAAGTACTTCAACGGTGGTAGCAGATCAAGAGTAAATTGGAAGGACACATCCGATGCTGCGAAGGCAGACCTAGAACCATAAGGGAGTGGCAAACCGAGGAGTTAATACGTCATCACACCTCAGTGGCATGCAAGGATGCAGCACCGAAAATGACAGTCACTGTCACCGAAGTGTTCTAATTTAACCCAAGGAAAAAACGACGTCAGGCCGGTCTCATAGCACTCTGCCAACTAATCCAAATATTAAATCCTCTACCAGCAGACAACATGACGTCACCTACCCCATAACAGACTGAGCCTGTGAGACTCACTGCCAGCCGCCTGTATAACAATATGAGAAGGCTGGGGAGAAGTAAATGAACTCGGTTCTAGTCGGGGGAAATAGGGATAACAAGGAGGAGGGAAGTCGCCATGTTCTTTGACAGACAGGTTACACGCGTACGTGCGACGGACTCCCCACTTTCTGAACCCTCTGGCTTCATACAGTGTCATTTCACCGAAGGCTACATCAAGCATTTACTGGGTGGCATCTGCCGATCATCCACCTGTGGGTCAGGGGACATTCAGTTACTGCTCAGCACCATCACAGGGATACGGGACTTGGGCTATGACCAAATCACCATAGCAGGAGATTTCGATGGCTCATCCCTTGACTTGGTTTGGAGTGTGCTCAGTGAAAATTCGGTAGAAATCTACTACACACCATTAGAAATACAGGACTGACTGAGAATTTTGGAGACGACGCTAGGTGAGGCCGTAGTGGAAAGTCACCGAAATTAGATTGTATTCTAGCTAGTGACCAATTGCTTGTCGAAAATATCAAGATCATGACCCCCCAAGAAGTAGTGACCACGCAGTCCTAGGAATCGGTCCTGTTCTCCATGAGTGCTTACATAGGGGCGGACTATGCTGAAATGTGTTTCTGCCCAACGCAGAGCGGCCCATGGAATGAGCTGAGTTATCTGTGGATGAACACTTGGAAGAGATTAACAACATAGCAACCTCGAATACCGTCACCTCAGTCACAACACAGCCGAAGAAAAGGTCCTCACAGCTGAAAAGCGGTACGCGACGCATTCTGCAAGCAAAGCGATAGGCTTGGTGTTCGTGGAGAATACACAAGATTTGAATCGGCCACAGTGAAAATCTGGAACTCAGAAACCAGTGCAACACAAGAGTCAGGAGTGGCAGGAGGTCATTTCAGGCCGACCTTGCCGAAAACTCTTGGAGAAACCCAAAAGCCTGTACTGATTTGTCAGAAAGAAAACCAACCAGTCAGGGCGTATGCGCTTTGGTAGGTCCAAACGGACAGCACCTCACTAAATTGTACACGGATGAAACATTCAGTTTAGCCTATTTAAAACAGTTAAACGACAAAGTCGGCAATACTGGTACAGACGTAAATGGCAACACTACTTCATCATGGGAAAACATACAGGATAATCTCCTAAGAAACACGGAAACAGTAAAAGGGAAGCCACAGAGACTCACGTCTGGAAAATCCCCATGTCAGCCAGGTCTCGTAAACCGTTAATGCACAGCTCTTGCTACGCTCAGGCTCACGCTGATCCTTGAAGTTTTCAGAAACGCTTAGAAATAACGGACGAAAAACCAAAACACCGATTGGCCGCTTGTGAATTCTTTATTGTAACACCAACATATGAAAAATATTTCTACTAAGGTCTGTGAACAAATATTACAATAATAAATCACAAGATTACTTCTGATGGTTTACTGCTGACTTTTTTCTGAACGGCGACCGATGAGACGATGACTGTCGTATTGATGCCTCCACGAAAATTGGGGAAGTTGATTTTGAGCAAACAACCATGAATTGATCGTTCAATCTTCAACTCCATTGACATTCCCCGGCAAAAAAGGGATCAAACCCCTTTTTTCCTTCACGACCAATACACGTTGACTTGGATGCCATTGCGAGAACCTGGGTCACACGGACAGAGCTGAAATGGAAAACAAACAGAAAAGCCAACACACCACAAGCATACCCACAGCACAATCTCACACATCAATGACGACCTGCGCCTCCAGACAGAGGACTCCTCTTGACATCTTGCAACACAATCGCCACTTGCTAGAATGACTCTTGCAGAATGCAACGTGACCATAGCACCAACTCATGATACTCTACGCACATCCTCTTATCTACTCACTACCAATTACCACTGAAATCGCTTGTCACTCATTCTGCCTCAGTTCTAGTAGCGGTGACGCATGCGAGCCTCAGTCGTTTACACTCTTTCTCCCCGGCGTGTGGGACCACAGCTAACAATTATCTCCGTGTGCATTTCATTCTCAGCAAAAGCCTAGCCTTCCCGGCGTATACGACCCATCTGCTGTCTCTAACATCAATCAATTCATTCATGGATGTAGAAGAGTGGACACAACTTCAGAAGTAATCACGACGAAAATTTTAACAAAATTATATAATAACAACAAGGTACGAAAACAACGAGTAAACACAATTAATCCAAAAAACACCAATTGATATGACACACCACACATATATACAAACAGCACACACAAACTCGCGGATCACATCTTGATGGAATTCCTTTGAAGAATCGCAGGACTTACACCAGTACGCCTGCAACCCTTCATAGGTTGACGATTGTAATTTGTGGAATGTCCGGACACAAACAAGATTAACCAACAATTACAATAATTGGAACTCACACAACTATTTAACACAAACATATGTACAATCACTACATCAAATTTTGTGGATTCTGACACGACAAACTACCCTTGAAGAACTGTAGGACTTACAGCAGTACGCCTACATTCCTTCTCAGGTTAATGATCCAAGTGGAAGTCATCCGGACACAAACAGAATTG